TTCCAATCTTGTTCCATTCACATCTTTGACTCTCCAGTCAAATGATTGACAACTGTTTGTGAAGCAATGTGTATCCATACATATGGCTGTTTTTCACTCCAGACCTAGCGACAGCCAAATATACTGCTTGAATTTCTGCCACTGGGAAGATTTTTAATTACTACTGCCTTTCAGGATCATCCCTTCAGTAAGGATATAGAGCTTCAGCTCTAAACTTCCAGGTGTAACTAGCTTACTATGCAGACCCATCTATAAACCAGGTTTTGTCTCAGCCAGCTGGGTGTAAGGAATACCACAGGAAGCCATAGATATGGACTAAGGAAGAGGAGGTAGTACAACTGTACTTAGGTGTTGAAAGAGCCTTGGCAGCCTATCATACCATTTACTTGCACTCACTGGAATTGCCTGAGCTTAATCCCTTAGGAACTCCTCGGAGTTTACATGTTCACCAAACTCTTTTGATACACATTTGCAGAGTTGGGCTTATTTTGTATGTAAGCTGTTTTCTCCTACCTTATGTTGCATACTGCCCTGTCCCCTTGGATTTTGCACTAGTTGTGTGTCCAGAGGCAACGGCAGGTAATTGTGGTGGGTCTCGAGAATGAGCATTCCTTCCAAGGCATCTGCTCTAAGTGAGATTATCACACATCTGTCAAGCAGAGGAAGGCTAGTATCTTCAGAAACCTACGAGCAAGCTACTTCCCTGATAAGGGAGGCTCAGAGTGTCTTGGGGGTTCAATATTGTGAGTGTCATCAGGGCCCCCGTAGATATCCCTATTTCATGTTTCCTGTCTCATTCTTCCCTGATCAGTACCTCATTTTCACATGAAAAAGTATGTGAGACTGACTTTAAGTATGGTTGAATACTTGAACTCTGCATTTGATTTTTGCAATATCTTCCCCATGTGACCACATGAAATGAGTTTTTAACCTGTCATGGAATCTCTCTGGTTTCAGACTTTGACTTGAGAGAGTAGATCTGAGCTTGTCATTGTCTGGGCAACTACACTCAAAAGAATCCATCTCTCACCACAACCATTATAATCACCATTATTGTTGTACCGTTAAGTGTAGCATTCACCTGGTCTCCCAAGGCAAGAGCTGTACCATAATCATCATAGGTGATTGCTTAACAGTTGTAATTCTGTGAATGTCTTTCCCATTGGCAAGGCTTTTAGCTCTATGCTTGAGTCCAAAGGTTTGACCAAACATATCCCAAAATGTCATCTTTACTACTTTGTCTCCAGGGATCACCTATCTTCACTGTTGTGTATAAGTCTGCATGAAATGAAGAGACAGAAATCATACTGTGATTTAAACAGGAGAAGTATAGTATAAAATTTTAAAGAGAATTCTGTCATATATCCTAGAGTTCATGGAGAGTACCTAAGGAAGGCCAAACTTATAGTGGGGGCCTCTCCCCAAGATTGATTTCAGACCTTGTTAGAGAAGGTATCATGGCAACCCATTGAATGTGAGGAAATTTGCTAGGTTGCCAGGGCCAGAACTAGTTAACAGTCACTGGGCAAGGATGAAGCTCCCCTCTGGTATGCAGGCAAGCCATGACCGGTATGTAGATGTGGAGAGGGAATTGAGGTGCCACTGCCAGTGCAGGACCTAGAGCACTAAGTGTCCATATAAGGAGGCTTTGGGAAACAAGTGACAGGTGTGCAGATAAGCCGACACTGGTGTGAGTGCTTGAAAGAAGATGGTGTTCCTCCCACCCTTACATTCTTAGAGTAATCAAATACATTTATGAAAACAGATATATGTTGTATTATGAACAGTTATTTAGGTATAACCTAGGTGTACTTGAAGAGTGATGTGAAGGAGCTCCACTCTGTCAGTCACCAGTTAGTGGGTGCCTTTGGTGTGCCAGACACCATGCCACTCTTTGTACTAGCAGACACTGTCATCCAAAACAGATACAGTGCTACCAATGATATGCCAAAAAAAGAAACTCTCCCCCAAAAAGCTGATCCTTATGTCAGACAACGTTGTCAAGAAGCATTACAACAGATACAGAGGTCATGATAAACAAATCTGTTTCTCCAAAAATATAAAAAATCAAATGTGTGTCCACTCAGTAATATTGTTGCAAATATATAAAGCATTACTTGAAAGAAGTGGAAGAAGAAATAAACAATTTCAAAATCCTAGTGGGAGATTTTAATGTATTTTGCCCATAGTTTCACTAAACAGTACACGAAAAATCAGTTAGGACCCACATTTGAAAATGCTGTATTAATTGCCTAATATACATATATAGCATAATGTATCTAGTAACAGTGAAATCAGAAAGTGCTTGTCTGAGTGCAAGAAGTAAGGAATGGGTGGAAAGGGACAAGAAGGCTTTCCAGGGAAATAAATATGTTCTGTTTCTTGTTTAGGCTGGTGATTATACAAGTATATGCAATTATCAAAATTCATTCACTAAATACTTAAGATCTGTGTATTTCATTAGACATTAATTACATCCAACTACAAAATAAACGGAAAAATAAAACATTTTATCAGGTACCGCCTCACTAAACTTACTCAGCCTAAGGACTCCTGGTTTGAGACCCCTAGTAGTAAGTACAGTTATAAGGGAGTCTAGACACATGATTTTTTTTGACCTCATGTATGTATGGGTTTTAGTCTTCTCTACTGAAGAATAAGGACTGTGGGGACAGTGAGGATGAATATGGTTCATAGGTTCATAGGTAATGAACTGTGGAACTTTCATTGTCATCATTCATATACCATTTTGTAGACCAGCATTTGGCCTGGTGGTCTGTGTTTGATATATTAAAGGTTATTTATATTTAACAAAAAGAAGTTAACTTTTAAATACAGAATGTTAAAAGACAAGAAGCATGGAGAAAGTCTGTGGTAGAAGTAAGTAAACATAAAAGCAAATTTTTCAGTTCCATAAAAAAGGAACTGAAAAATAATATGAAAAGGTGATTGTCTGAAAAGATTCATAAAATAGACAAATGTTGGGCTAAGTATGACAGGGCCTTGCTCCTTGTCCAAGGCAAGGAGAGAGTACAGACCTGTTTGATTTGAGTGTTTCCAAACGGAGACCCATGGAGGCTTCCCAGTACTTTCATGTATTCTGAATTCTTTTGTAAAAAGTTTGATAAATTTTTTTCTAATCTTTTTGGACCAAGTGTGGAAGACCTAATGATTTCCCCTTTCTTTCTTTATCTGGCCCAGGAACTAACAATATGTGTGTGTGTGTGTGTGCGCGCGCGTGCATGTGTGTGTGTAGGATACCCTTTATTTTTTTTACCTACTTGATTGTTTTCCCATGTTACTAATGAATTGATATATCAATTATTAGTTTATTGTCTATCTTCCCTAATAAGAATGGTGAATATTTAATGCCTAGAATATTTTCTGTATATGTTACTGCTCTCAACTGATTGCCTAGCACAAGGTCATTGAAAGAAAGGAATAATCCAGTGATAAGAACTAAAGGAGGCCTAGAGCTTCAAACTTCTCCAACATCCATCAAGAGAAGCTCAAGGATGTTGACCAAATAGAATGGGTTTTTTTCCCTTCATAAGCCCAGCAGCAGCCTACACCAGTGCTTTTCCAATATAAATATAATGTATAGATCACGTATATAATGAAAATATTTTCAGTACCCACAATAAACAAAAATGAAGATTATTTATATGAATATATTTTATTTTATCCCATATATATTAAAATATTACTTAAACAGTCAATTTAAAATTTTAGATATTTTACATTGTTTTCATTTGAAGGGTTTTAAATTTACTGGACACTAAATTTTTATCATATATACTTAATTTCCACTTAGAGCATACATAATTTACAGTTGAAAGAGTAGATTCCAGTATTCAAGTTGTTCCAAATATATAGGTAAGCTGTAAGCTCCTAATGAGATATCTGGTACATAATGTCCTCAATGAATAATAATTGATGTTACTGATATTCTTGTTGTAGAGCATACTCTTTTAGTAACTATGTTATCTACATAGAAAGAGCTAATTTATGATGTTGTGTGTGAGATAACTAATATTTGTTGATTAATGATTGATATGAAGCAGGACTCCAGATAACCCAATCTCCAGGGGCATGGAGATGTCCCTGTCCACTTGTATCATAAGCTGCTTGACATGATCTGGACATCAAAGAAAGGAATTTTCAGGCAAATTTCACCATCATTGCAACATGACAGCTATATGTCCCATGAGAAGTCCTTGTTAATGTCCTTTTTCAGAGACTCTACTCTAGGATCTGCCAGTCTTTTGGTCTGGGCCTGAGCAGTCATGCTTCTGGTTCATCTAGGAATTGCTGAAGGGAGCCAGATAATGCTGTTCTCTAAGTCGGCTTTCTGGTGTGCGCATTTAGGTAGAGTTGCTGCATAATCTTTTTTTGTTTGTTTGTTTTTTGGTTTTGTTTTTTTGTTGTTGTTTTTGCGGTACACGGGCCCCTCACTGCTGCAGCCTCTCCCGCTGCGGAGCACAGGCTCCGGATGCGCAGTCCCAGCGGCCATGGCCCACGGGCCCAGCCGCCCCGCGGCATGCGGGATCCTCCTGGACCGGGGCACGGACTCGCGTCCCCCTCATTGGCAGGCGGACTCTCAACCACTGCACCACCAGGGAAGCCCTGCTGCATAATCTTATTCATGTATCTTATTGCCTTGACAAATGAAGAGTCACATTACTCAGGTCTTAAGGTTCCTTCCCTGTAAAATGAACCCATTACTCTTTTCCTGATGGGCAGCATGGCTCACCATCCCCTTTTCTGGCTCCAGGTGAGACAGGACTACTCTGGCATTTCACAGCAGTGGTGTGTATATATGTGAGATTTCTTGAGTGTGCAAAGGATAATTGGGAATTTCGAGATAGAGTTGAATGACTTCCAGGCAGTGACTGTGGGAATTATGATCATCTCTGGGTACTCATGCCTTCTTTCTTTTCTCCTAGGGGTTCTAAGGACCCTTTCGCCTTCCTGAGGAAAAGATAGAGGCAGAAAGGATAATGGCTGAGTGTTTGAAAAGTTGTTCTTGGGTAAGAAGCAAGTCTATCCTTCTAAAAAATGAGCTACTGTATCCACCAGATGGATACATTCTGTTTTGGTAGACCTGTGTCCAGAGCTTCTTAAAGAAATAAAGCCACTGCAGGACTCAGTCCCTGATGAATTCCCTCCCTAAGTGGAAGCTCATACTGGTGACACATTACCCTGAATAATCTCAGTATTTCAGTAATAACCTCCTAATCTTGCCTCTCATGATGGTGACTGCATATTTTTTGTTTTGCTTGGTGCTCTTACACAGTAAGGAAGTTGACTGTGCATTTCTCAAAGAATGTATTCATTCATCAGCGTTTACAAGTGCTTCCAGTTGGCTTAGGACTATGCTACAGGAGAGAAACAAAACACTTTAAGGCTCATTCTATTGAGATAAGTTCATGTATTACATGTTCCATTAGAGGTGTAGCTGAAGGATATCAATCGTGAGTGAGTGTAGATAGAAGAGAACCAAGGACCATTGTGTCCTGGGGGAGATGATGAGAGACATTGAATCATGGGTCACCCGTCTCCAGTCCCTACCATTGGTGGAGGGCTTACTTTACTGAAGCTAGTATGTGTGTGATGGTTTAGGACTCAGTGACCTTTGCTGATGTAGCTGTGGACTTCACCCAGGAAGAATGGACTTTACTGGACCCCATTCAGAGAAAGCTATACAGAGATGTGATGCTGGAGAACTACAAGAACCTGACCACAGCAGGTAAGGCTGCCATCATTCCTGTAACGTCTTAGGGAACAGATATATGTGATGCACTTACTGTGTTGCAGCATGGGTGATGTTACGTATGAATATAATGGAAACTAACAGACACTGTTCTTCACATGAATGGGTTTTAATTCAGTTGGTATCTGAAAACGTGCTTCTAGGACTAGCGTTATCACCATCGCTCTTAGAAATGTGCATTCTCAGACTCCACCTTTCACCTACTGAATGAAACTGCGGCATTGGGACCCAGTCATCTGCGTTGTGACAGACACTGGACTTGGTTCTCATGGACACCAACGTTTGACACTCATTGGTATATTGGTTTCTCCATGTGAATGAACATCTTTTTTTGCACTTACTTTGTTTCCCGTATCAAAAAAAGTCTTAAGCTTTGTAATTGTTTATATCAATCTGAATGTGGGCTTCAGGGGCCAGAGAGAAACAGTCTTTGTGGAGAACAGAAGGAGGTGAATTTCCTATTTTATCTCTTCTGAAATAGTTTTACCACAGTTTTAGACATATAGGAGCTGATTCACTGGACAGTTACTTCTATTTTTCTGGAGCTTCTTTCATTAATTTATCTTTCCTCATAAACAGGGTATCAGTCATTGAAACCCACCGTGATCTCTTGGTTGGAACAAGAAGATGATTTGAGGACAGTGGAAAGAAGAGGAGTCCTCCAAGGTGAGTGATTCCTGATCAATGAAAATTTCATTGTCTTTGGAATAATAATGAGGAAACTTGTAAAGATGTGCTTTCTCACAGAAGGCTGAGGTCACTGGTCTCTGATGTTTCAGGATGTATTCAAGTTGTCATATGTACGTACTTCACATTTACTCACAATTTCTTATGAGCTCACAAAATGGCTTGTTCTTTATTTTAATATAATTTTATTGAAGTACAGTTGATTTACAACGTTATGTTAGTTTTAGGTGTACAGCAAACTGATTCAGTTATATATATATATATATATATATATATATATATATATATACATGTTCATTCTTTTTCAGATTCTTTTCTCATATAGGTTATTACAGAATACTTAGTAGAGTTCCCTGTGTTATACATTAGGTCATTGTTATCTATCTTATATATAGTAGTGTGTGTATGTTAATCCCAAGCTCCTTATTTATCCCACCCTCCCACATTTCCCCTTTGGTAACCATAAGTTTGTTTTTGATATCTTTAAGTCTGTTTCTGTTTTGTAAATGAGTTCATTTGTATCATTTTTTAAATTAGATTCCACATATGAGTGATATCATATGATATTTGTCTTTGTCTGACTTCACTTAATATGATAATCTCTGGGTCCATCCATGTAACTGCAAATGACATTATTTTATTCTTTTTGACAGCTGAGTAATATGCTATTGTACATATGTACCACATCTTCTTTATCTGAAATGGCTTGTTCTGTTTCTTTTTTTAACTTTATCATTTTGATGTAGGCTATTTTTCCTAACATTCCTCTTTTCCTTCACTGATAATATTCAGGTTTTTTTCCCCATCATATTTAATTTACATAGAATTCTTTTTAATCAGGTACTGAATTTTGACTCTGCATTCCTATCATTGTTAAATATTTGGCATAGCCAAACTTCTCAAATCTAGTATGTATGTATTGGTATTTTTAGCATCTTTAATTTGGAAGCCAGTACAAACGAGTATTATTATTTTTAACTCCTTCAGCCTCCTGTTTCTTTCTACAAACTCTTACATTTGTTATTCTTTTTTTATGGGAAATGCAACTTAAAACCAAAGGCTCAGCAATTCAGCAGG